CCTACCCCTCCAGTGCCTCTTACTTCTTCCACAGAAATCAAACACAAAAGCCTTAGTTTCTTTGGACATTTTGCAGAATTTAACCCTTTAGGGTGTCCCACAGGTGCAGGAACAGCTCAGGAGACAGGGAAGAACAGTGAAAACAACAGAGAAAAAACTTCCACCCACAAAAGACAAGTGTCTGATTCTTAAGGCTCATCACAAAATACACCTTCCTTAAAGTCCTGCTGGTTAGGTTAGGAACCAAGGTTTTGAAACCATAACCAGGTACCATGTCCTCCCACTGACGCATGGTTTCATCTCCCTGCCAGCTCTGGTGAGGATGTGGAAGCTGAGTACCCTGTGATAGGGCCTCATTTTTCCAGCCATGCTGCAGGGCACAGAGAGGTCCCCAGCTCTGGGCTGGCACCTGCAGAGTCTGGAAAACTGTCACAAATGTGTTTTAATAGACAAAATGCATGACCACAGGGATAGATTTATACCACAAAACAAATACAAACATTTTTTTAGAAGTCTGTTTAAGGCGTCCTTAAGAGATGTACATTCAACTGTTGCTTCCTCTCAAAATAACACCAAAGGACCAAGTGCTACAATAAATACTTTTATAACTACTTTAGACTTGGGAATTTATAGTTAATCAACCAAAAAAAACCTCTCACTGACAAGGGAGAGATTCCTTTCATGTAACATCAGTGTATTTGAACACTAAACTGGTAAAGCAGACAGATGGTTCCCTGCCAAGATTATGGCTCCATAAAGGACTGTGCTAAAACTGTATCTTTTATTTTAACAAAAAACTTAAAAAATCTGATTTAAATTAATTAAAAGTCTCTCTGAAGGAAGAGGGGGCAAAGTCCTAGAAGCATCATGCACAGTGTTTGCTTACAGTCCAGCTTCAGGACCTAGGAGTGCTGCACAATCCAGCCAAAAGCAAAGGAATCAGTAAATTCCCAGGACTTTCAAGACACTGTCAAAACACAGTTCATCACTGGGAAACTGAGGACTGGTTAGTCTGAATAAATATTTTCAAGGTACACTCTTTTACAACTGGGCTGGATTAGCTTCAGGAGTCTCTGAACTTTTAACAGCCCTGAACATAATTATTAAATTAGAGAGCAGATAAAGAAAGCCTACTTTCAGATGGTGCATTTACCATTCAAAGACATCAAATGCTCTAAATTAAGAGGGTGATTATCCTTCCACTTCACACTAACAGCTACTTTGTGCTATTTCTTCCCACACTGAGCTTTCAAGACTATGAACTGGAAAAGAAATTTGGCAATACTGAAAAGGATGTTGTTGAAGGCTTCCTGAATCACTTTTCTGTTGGATAAAGAGAGAGTATTTTTTGTTAGGGATACAAGCTGCATTAAAACCACACTACTGATGGAAAATGACTTTATGAAATTTGGATATGAGCACGTAATTTGTCTCCCACACAGTTGAATTCCCTGGGTTATTCACTTTTTTGCCAAGCTAAGCATCTAGTAAGTCAAAGTAATTCTTGGCAAGCAAATTCAGCACGCACATGTTGAGCAGTTTTTAAGTCACAGCTCACAGGCAAGCATCATGCCTGTACTGGGTACTCTTACAGGGCTGTCAGCAACTTCTGGTAGCCAGGGGTAAGAAGGTGGTGGTAGGATAACTCAAGCAAAGTACTATTAAAGGAAAGAAAATCAGGACAGAACATACAAAGAGGGTACAATGGGAAGAAAGAAAGGTCAGTGGCAGCACAGCACAGAAACCCTCAAACTAGCCCTATCATAAGCCTGCTGGTTTGTCTGTGTTGAAGGCACAGGGTGCAACCACCAGCTTCTGGGTAGTGCATGATGCAGAGGTAAGTGTTTCACAGACAACTGCAAGTCAAGCACAGAAAGTAAGCTTGACCAGCAACTGGTTAAATGAGGAAACAGCCTTAACTGTGTACCCACTGGCACTCACTCTTGGGAGGGTAACACACAACAACTACATAACCTTCTCAGTGAGGGAAGCCTTCTGAACCTCCAGGGCAAGCACATCCTCGAAGCAGGCCCAGTGCTGAGTTTGGTGGAGAAACTTAAATTTTAAGAATTAAGCATTCCAGCCATTGTTCCCTCTACTTAAAAAAAAAAACTTTTCTTCTTGTAGTTCGTAGGGGGTGAGAGAAGAGGATTTGTGCTATTGAGAGCAACATGGGCAGCTGAAGAAACCAAACCACCGATGAGGTACATCAAGTCCAGTGTGCGACTGCAAGAAGGCTGCTAAGCATTTAGCTTAGGAAAGTTACATTAAGACTCTGACAGAAGCTTGAGATTTAAAATCTAGTTTTACCCACAGCTCTTTCATGCTTTAGAAGCTTTTTAATTAAAAAGACAATTAGAGATGAACAGTATCTGCTGTGGTTACAGACCATGTGGATAGGATGACTCAATGCACATTTAAGAAAACCCCTTGTAAAGGATCTGCAGCAGTATGCATTGCAGCAGTCTGTCACACAGCACCAAGAACACAGAATCAAAATTATAAATGCAACACTTGAACAGTTGTTTTCTAACTTGCTGCTTCTGCTACTAAACAAGTTGCCAGAGACAAACTCAAAGTTGGACTGAATGGATTTGTTCTACTATAACATGTTCCCTAGCAGGCTTTAGTGACACTACCTGCGCAGCAAACCTAGGATGGGTTCACGGCAGCACAATGAAAGAGGAGGAAGACTGCTAGTCCTGTGTTCCTTGACGCTTTATGTTGTGAAACACATGCAACAGGTGAGGAATTTACAGGAAGGAGACCCATTTCCTCCCATGGGCAGCAGTGGGTTCATCTCTCTTACTTACGTGCATTTTCATTTCGTTAGCTACTGTTGTTGACATCATGACACAACAGATGATAGTCACCAGCATGAAGTAAAGCGCATACATGAAGCGGGTGCTGGTTGACTGTTTGATCTTGGGGCAGCATTTGCAGCACAAGGAACAAGCGGCAATACCGCAGCAGCAGGCCAACTGGAAAGGAAGACAAATAACACAGGTCATTCCATCACCCAACTTTAGGTTTCTGTTGCAAAAGTCAGTCAGGGAATCTGTGGGACATCCTGTAAAACTCCAGAATTTCTTAAGTCCTCTCCTCCCAGCTACGCAGCATTTAAGTGGAAGCAGACTGTCTTGTTTATCAAAAGTCACTAGGTTAAAGCACATCAGTTTCTAGTTTTCCCACACACTAAAGATGAGGCTAAGGAGGATGAGGAGGAACTGCTCCAGATTTCTTTACTATCCTGCTCTTTACTATCACTGTGCAACATGTGGTCCTGACATGTTTCACCCAGCAGAACAGCCACTGCAATGCTAAGTCTCTGTTTCCTGCAATACACTCTCCCTCCTCTGTAGTGATAAACCAGATCTGCACAAGAGGGCACAGACCCCCAAATTGTTTACTTCTAAGACAAAGACAAAATAATTTTGTTTTTAAGACAAGCTGGAGGCTTTGTTTCAAAACAAGCTGTCCAGATCCATTTCAATTCACCAGAACCAGACGGTCTTTATTATGTTCCCTTTCTGGTACACACAAAAACAAAAAACTTTTTTTTCCTTTTCTGTAATTTCTGCCACAGAACTTTTTATGCTGCTGAAGACTTTGAGCAAATCAAAGTGAAGAGGGAAAACTGGTGGAACCCTTGGGAAAACTTTCAGCAACACTCTGGGATAGTTGTGCTGGAGGCTTTGTAAACAGACAACAGCTGCAAAGAAAGCCAAACAAACTCAAACCAACAAAAAAACCCCTACATTAAAAGTTCTAAATATTTTGGGCAGTAGAGAGAGACTTTGGAAATACTGGGCTTCCCGCAAACAAAGATAGCTGAGCTTGGACAGCCCAAAATACAATGGCACCATCCTGTACTGAAGAAAGCCAGAGAAGAAAGACAACTTCACAGTTATTTAGATACACTTTGCAAAGGTGAAAATGGTGATTCCCCATACAGGATGGCAAGGGAAAAAAAAACACAGCTGCAAGGAAAATAATAGCAAATCACAGTTCAACTGCCACTGCCTCCAATGTTTAACCATTATTAGAGACAGAATTCCTTGTGCATTTTAGTTCTTTTTTACCTGCAGCTGGGGGTCCACCAAGATGAAAACCAGGAAGCACAGCAAACACCATGTAATTGACTTATTCAACAGGGAAAAGGTACTGAATAAATCCTGCAAGGGATCTATCTTAGTGCTTATTATTCCCTAACTGCTAATGGTATCATTAACTTTCAAAGAAGCTGGATTCACCTTCCCTGCCTTATACATTTAGAAAAGCCACCTATAAAAATATAAGCCTTACTTTTATACATAAGGCAGCACTGTTCTTGGCCAAGCCAGTCCCTGCAATAGGCAGCAGCTTCATATGGCTCATGTGCTCACCCCAGCAGCCGTGACCACAAGAGGCATTTTCGGACATCAGCAGGTAGCCAGGAGCCAGCAACCTCTCTTCCAGGTCTCACTGCTGCCAACCCAGAGTGACTCGAGCCCTCAGCACTCCCATTTTTGAGGGTCTCGCTGTGGCTGGTGTGTAGCACAGGGGTGGTGTGTGGCCAGTGCCCGGGACTTGAGAGGACCAAGGCTGCTTTTTCCCAGTGTCCCTCAGCCCTCAGAGGCACCATGGATCAGAGGATTCCTTGCTGTCTAGCAAGCAATTGTGCAAGAGGGATGGGTTTTCTTAGCCCTTGACAAGGGATTCAAAATGCACAAGTGCCACATTTGAGTCACCCAGACAAACTTCGCTGGCTTGCATGTGTCTTTTTGCTCTCAGGACACTTCCTCTTCCAGCACCAATGACTGTCCCATCCAGAAAAGGGGATTTCATGTGCCTGTTCGCAGACACACGTATCTGATGTAAGACCACAGTGTCTCACAACCAAACTGGTTGATCAGAGACCCCCATGTCATTTTGAAGGAAAATCTTGAAATCACTCCCAGCTTATCATTTCCTTGCCGTGAGTATCTGCTGCAACACCCAAGCTCAGGCTTCCCACCTTCAACCCTGCAGAAAGCGGGTGGCAGACAGGCCCTTGCCTCACTCGACAACAGCTCTTGGGCTTGCAGAAGACATGAAACAGGGACAGTTCAACCGCTCTCCCACACTCCCCTTCCCTCCATCCACCGCTGGGTCTCACGCCAGCGGAGATGGGGGCCTCAAAGCACACAGCTGCTAAAAGTGCTGCTGCTGCAAAGCAGAAATCCTCCCCAAAACACACAAAGCCTCAACTGTGGGGAATAAACAGAATGGGCTCGTGTTGGCACCAAAGCTGGAAATTAAAAATACTACGTGCATAAGCACATAGTGCAAGTATACTTTCAAAATAGAAGGCAGTGCTGGCGGAGCAGCAGTTTCATTTTTTGTATGTAGTGAAACTAAGTTAACTTTTACAGCATCCATACAATTCCAAGAAATAAGAGAGCTATCATAAATTACTGACTCAGCAAACAAATGGAATAACAGCATTTCAAGACAAAACCATACCAGAAAAGCATAATCCATCTATTTCAGAATTGGGGGGGG